GTTTGCCCGGGATCAACGCCGCCCAGGCAGCGGAACCCCCGCTGCCTGGGTGGCTTTGCTCATGTCCCCCTGGACTCCACCAGCAAAGCCGCCCCCCCCCCCCCAGCAGACCAGGGGGACAGGAGCAAAGCCGCCCAGGTGGCGGGGGTTCCGCTGCCTGGGCAGCTTTGCTCCCAGGCAAACAAGCAAAGCCGCCCAGGCAGCGGCTTTGCTCGGGTGTCCCTGGTCTGCTGGGGGGGTCTAGCGGCTTTGCTGGACCCCCCCCAGTAGACCAGGAAGACCGGGAGAAGCTTTTCTCGCCCCGGAGGACACGGGTGGGGACCCGCCGCCCGTGAGCTCCGGGGCGAGAAAAGCCCCGTTCGTAAGTGCGGATCCGACATAAGTCGGATCCGCGTAAGTCGGGGACTGCCTGTATTGTTAGTTGAATGTCACTTATAAATGATCCTGCTGTGTTTAGCAATGTTAGGGTATGCAAACATCTTCCTTAATTTTCATTTTTTTAACCTTTCCTGGCGGTGGAGGGTGGTTAAAGAAACTAAAATACAGTTAAGTGCAGCTAACCACAAGTAGTTTATTATTGTACTTCTTATACTCCAAAAGTATTTCTTTCCAACCTATGCTTCATTATTCTTGCTACATCTTGTCCATAGTCAGCTTTGTGTTTGTGTTGGATGGGTGGGGAAGTACTGATGTGTCTCAGCTTGCAACATTTGAATACTTCAGATTTGCATAATATTTCACAGAGTAGTTTATAAACCTCAACTAATCCTTCATAATCTTTGTTAAACATAATATAACTGTTCTTAACATTTGCATAGACTAACTTCAGCATGTCAAATTATACTGCCAATTCATAATAAATAATTGTTCTTGTAATGAGTTTAATATTAAAATGTATGGATTTGGAGTGATTTGCTAAAATAATCTCTCTCTGTTTGGAAAACTTGTAGACCATTTTTGGTTGATTTATGGTTTCGTTATCTTCTTTGCTCTGTTAAAATAATTCTACTGTAGGTGGATATCCAAGACAGTGAAATTGTATGGCTTCCAGAGAAAACCATAAATCAGTGGACACAAGTTGTTTTATAGATTTTTTTTTTTTTTTTTTTTTTAAATTCCAAAGGAACTGATGGGTCATTTAGTGTGACTTTTAGCTACACTACTTCTCAGACACGTTTTAGGTTACTCTAAACGTGTGTAAAGCCTTACTACACAAAGTTTTTATTCTCCTAGTAACTATCTCCTGTTCCTTACTCTCCTCTGCCCTTCTACTTTTAAATAACTGAATTCCAAATTATAACTAGCATTCATTTTGGTACATTACAAAGCTAAAATGTATGAGGCAGAATGCAGTTAGATTTCTTCAGCTCCATATAGAACAATAAATGTTATGAATGTAAACAACTGCAGTCAAAGTAAGCATGTATAGTTTGAACCTTGACCAGAACATGCATGTGTGAACACATGTCTTCTGTAAAATCCTGGAAACATAGCAATTTCTATTTGATGATCTACTTGTAGTTGCTTTTTTATCCCCCCCCCCCCCCCTTCCTAACTGAAGATGCTTGATTGAACTATTTCAGGAAAATAAATGTTGGTTTGTTCTTTCTCCTACACAGGTTTCTGCTTCAGTGTCTTGAGGATCTAGATGCCAATCTACGAAAACTAAATTCTCGTTTGTTTGTGATTCGTGGACAGCCAGCAGATGTGTTTCCCAGGCTCTTTAAGGTGAGTTATAGGCAAAGGTGTGTTTTTAATGCAAATGCTTTGTTTCCCGGAAAAACTCTGCATTCTAGACATAGCCTTAATGGTATGTCTGTACAAGAATATAAGCCCAGCCTTAAGAAAACTCACTTTGCAGACACAGGGTTTGTTAATCTAGGCTTGAGCATCTACACTCATTTGTGACCTCAGGCTAGGAATCATTGAACCCAGGGTCCAGTGTTTACTCTGAATTGTGTGGGCCTGATACCTACTCAAAACCCAGACTTCCTAGCACCCTCCCAAAAAGTGATCACTCTAGCCCTAGTTTTGTGGTGCAGTGTGGGAAAACAGGCCCAGAAGATGATGAAAGACAGCTAGTAGGATTGTGGGGTATCCTGGGAGTTCACCAAAAGTATGTCTGCTGCACAATAGAACAACTGCAACTAGCCCATGTCAGGTTATCCAGGCTGTGGGGCTATACAACTTAATCTTGGTTTTCTCTTTCCTTTGAGGTAATTTTTTTTTTTAAAGTCACTGTAATCATTTTTGGATTAATTCTGTCTGGGAATTTAGCTTTCCATGAAATTAAAACTGACAGCAATGTTTAATAGGCAAAAAAAAAATTTTTTTTTTCCCTGAGGAAGAAGTTTAGACTAATGGCTGCAGGGAATCCTCACTTTTTTAGTTTCCTTTTACTACTGCTGTTAATAAGGTTTTAGGCTTGCTGATGTGCAAGACTGCATTTTTATCTAATTTAGAAGTGGGAAAGTAAATGTCTTCTCCACCCCCCGGTAACTGGTGCTTCTAATGTAACACTTGTTTTTCTGAATTTCAGGAATGGAACATTGCAAAACTCTCTATTGAATATGATTCTGAGCCATTTGGAAAGGAGAGGGATGCAGCAATTAAGAAACTGGCTAGTGAAGCTGGAGTGGAGGTCATTGTACGAATTTCACATACATTATATGACTTAGACAAGTAAGTTATTACTGTCTGAAGTTTAACATGTAGTAATGTGTGTGGATTTTATGCAATATTCAGTCATTGTTTTGCCGCAAAACCACAGTGCACAGTTTGCAGTCTTTACTGTATGCTTAATCAGTTTTTATTCCTGCTTCTTCCACCCCCTAGTTAAATAACAACCTCTTATTTCAATGCGAAGTAGAGTTTTGAACTCTAAAATTGGCTGAGAGCCAAAATATCAGTCCCTTTTAATAAACTGTGCCATAATTGGTCTATAAAAATGGCCATATACTTTCTTTGTGGGAATATGATGCGTATATGCCTATAATTCACTTTAAATAGGATTTATTGTGGAGTTGTAAGATTTTGTATGTAGTTCAGTATATACCAATTTGAACAGTTGCATTCTATCATTCCATACCATCAGGGTGATAAAGAACTTGGTATGAATAAAGGTCAAGATTGATACCATTGCTTCAGTTATTGCTGTTTTCAGCATGCAAATATGTCAAGAAGTTTTAAAGTTTGTTTCTAGTGCACTAGTTCTCAATTGAACGTTTTTCAGACATTCCCTTTCTATCATGTGTACCTAGAAAGTTATTTGGAGATTGTTTGATATCACCATATTGCCTTGGTGTTTACGTTTTTCTACAAATTAATGGTTTTAGTGGATTAATACTAGCCCCATCTTATCTCTCTGTATATAAAAGCTTTTCCTGCCGGGCGACAGAATGACATCATCATGCTGTCTGGCCACAAAAGCTGCCGGGGGGGGGGGGAAGGTTGGTGAATATAGTGAGCAGCGGGCGCAGCCCCCTAGTACGTACATAATTGACAACATATAAAGTATTGGTCCCATTGAAATTTTGATTTATTAATTCTGTTGTGGTGTCCAGTCTTATATTAGCTAAATTAAGAGAACTTTATTTCAAATCTCTCCAGTATCATCTCTCACTTCTATTTTTGTTTCATTGTTTGGAATGCAGGGGTTGATCTTTCCTCAATACTAGGAAGAAACCCCAAATGAACAAAGTAGTTAAACAAAAAATACTACTCCCTATGCACAACACAGGTTTACCATTCAGTGCCATAATATACAGATTTGTTGTTTAAATTCTGCTTCATTGCTTTTTGGAGTTCAAGTTGTATCTGAAGCATATCAAATTACTCTTTAGCAGCATTCCCTCTAATTTTTGTATGTTCATGTTCAGAATTAATATTATGTGCACCAATATGGAGATGATGATGTGTGCCCCACATCTATGGGGATGCGGGCTTTAGGGTGGAGCCTGGGGAAGGAGGCATTTGGGATTTAGTAAGGGGCTTCAGGCTGGAGCCAAGGTGTTTGGACTGTGGGAGCAAACTTAGGTCAGGAGGTCGAAGTGCAGGGTCTGGACAGGAGAGAGAGTTCAGGGTTGGGGTGTGAGGTCTAGGAGGGAGTTAGATTGGTGGAGGGGGGCTCTGGGCTGGGGCAGTGGTTTAGGGTGGAGGGGGCCTATCTGGGGCAGCTCCTGTGTGGTGGCAATAGGAGGTTTTGTGTTGCTGGCACTCACCTATAGCTGCCACATTAGTCATGATTCCTAGCCTGTGGGATTTGCAAGGACAGAGCTTCCTAGTGCTCATGATAATGTGGTTCCAGCTGGTGGGGGAGTGTGGGAGAGGAAGGAATGTTGCGCGTGGAGCCCCCCTCTTACCCCTACCAACCTCTCCTCCTGCCGGGAAGGGCTGGTCCAGAACACAGAGGCTTTAAGGACTGCAGCCCCTAAAGCCCGTTCCTTAATTGGGGCCAGAGGAGCACTCCTGTTCCCCAGCTATGGCAGTTCTCTGGGGCCTCTCCCCGATGGTGGTAGCTTCCTGCACAGCAACCCTGAGCCCCTGTGTGGGGCTTACTATACACCTGTGCAATCCCACAGTTTAGAGGGAACCTTACTCTTGTGGGAGAAGTGAAGTATAGAAGAGAGGTGAAGGGTGTGCATGCACATGTAAATGGCTGCCATTAAAATCATTATATGTTCATCTTTTGCCTAATTGATGTTACCATAGTTTTCCATTGGAATACTGCCATAGTATTTCCTTCCAAATCACAGTTGTAATGCTTTAAATTGGTGGTTTGTATGTATGTATGTCTCTGCAATAATTTTATTTTTACTGCTGTCTGTAACCTGTTTGAGGGTGTATATGTTATGGTTTACCTTATTTTTTTTATTTATTATTCATTTACTGCTGAGAGAGGTTTTCAACTTAGAAAGCAAAAGTAATAAGTTTATGTAATTAATGGAATGATATAATTAAGATTTAACTGTCTGGCTTAGTGTGGGTATACAAAAACAGAATTCAAACTGCAGGTCAGAACAGATTTTCTATATTCATCTGTGTATATGTATATACATTTCTAATGTGCAATTATATGAAATGCATGCATTTGGTTTTTTTTTTAAACACAGGATTATAGAATTAAATGGAGGACAGCCACCTCTTACCTATAAAAGATTTCAGACGTTAATCAGTAGAATGGAACCACTGGAGATGCCAGTGGAAACCATCACTGCAGAAGTAATGGAAAAGTGTACTACTCCAGTTTCTGATGATCATGATGAGAAATATGGTGTTCCATCATTAGAAGAATTGGGTATGTTATAAGACTTATATTCATGCATTTCCTGATATAACACACATTTTGAAGTATTACTTCCAAAATGTCCTACAGCAAAGGTGGAAAAGCCTAACCAAGTGACTTGAAGATTTCCCAGACTTTTTGTAATAACAGACTACACTCCGAGCACATTTGTTTTGAACCATTGTACTTAGCTCTTCTTTTGCAGTGAATGCTTCCCTGTATTTGTGCTCCATACAAAACCAGTGCTAAAACTCTGTTTCTCCAAAGCTGAAAAGACATTATTATAAAGTAAACAAAGTTAAATAATAATAGAGTCATGGATTTAGTCTTCAGTCACTTATGTTAAACACAAGCAGAAGTGATTTTGACTCCAGGCTGTCCCCACAGGTGTCTGGAAAAATCTTGTCAGATCTCCACTGCTCTGTCTTGTCTAGTTCAATTCCAATAGCCCAATTACAGAAAGTTACATGTATTTGACCAATTTATCATAAAATTAAACATGAACAACTTTGCACATGAATTTTAAAATATTGTTTACAGTAATAATCTAATTATTATTGTCACTGTAATCTTGCAAATGCCAGTGCACATATGAAAACCTTTCAGGTCAAACCATAAGCATGATGAATCAAAGGGATACTGACAAATTGAACTTTTTGACAGTCACCATCAGTTACTCTGTGAACACCCTTAAAATATATCCAGACACCTATAAACCATTTTAAAACATTTTATAAGGATTTTTCTGCTCTTTCAACAAATGTTTTTGATCTGTGGGGGAAAAGTTACTAGTGTCTTTTTACAGTAATCTTGAGTGTAACTTGTCACTCTAGCAAGTACAGAATTCTCAGACACACTTTCATGTTAACTTCATCCCTTTCAAAAATTGCAATTTTAAGGCCCAATGCAATACAACTCTTAAACATCTACTTCAGTGACACTACTGTACTGATTAGAGTCTGTGTTGTGCAGCATATCATACTGACTTCTCCTTGTGATGGTGGAGCATGTCCACATTAATAGGTCTTGCAGTGCCACAGAGCAATGCATTGTGGTAGCTATTTCAGAATGCAACTGGCTGCAGGGTGTTTTGGGAAGAGCTTGCAATGTCATATGGAGCAGTCAGCATCACATGATGCAAGTTTCCAAATCCCATTGCTTCATGGTCATCCTGCTATATATCGTAGGGATGTTAGTGTATAGTCATTTAAATGATTAACCAATACTCCTAGGTTTATTGGTTAATCCAAATGAATACACGCGCACACACACTACCTTGCTGCCTCTGTATAAGATTACCTTCATTGGACATAGAGAATATAAAGACTCATCTATGTACATTTTGGTTCTAAATTTAAAATTTGTCAAAACAAGTTGTTAACATTTTGGCTGTCCTTAATTTTTTGTTATGCAGTCCTCATATTCTAATGGAAAATGATGTCTCATTAAAAATCTCTGTAGTTCTTATATCCCAAACATTACAGAATTGAGACCACAGAAATGAATAGTGTGGAAGGATGTTTTTAATTGACTGCATCAAAGGAAATGTAAAAAGGAATTTAAGATCTGTCTATCCTTGCCTTTTATAATAGAACATAAACATTGTATTTAAGCTTGTTGCAGGCAAATGGCTTTTTAATGTGGCTTGGTAGGACTTGTCCATTTGGCAAACTTTGCTTCAAAAGCTGCATTCTACTATCTAGTGATGTATCATGGTTTGAGAACAGTTATTCTTTGAGAATTGGGATAACTGCTGTTTGTTTGATACAGTATTTTAAAAAAAAATTTCTTTTACTTTGCTTATCAGGTTTTGATACAGATGGTTTGCCTTCGGCAGTGTGGCCGGGTGGAGAAACAGAAGCTCTCACACGACTGGAAAGGCATTTGGAACGAAAGGTATGTTGCATATCATTGAAACAAGCAAAAGTTTACATCTTTAAAACCATGGTTAATTATTATTACTACAAATAAGCGTGTTGGGGAGGAGGGAGCAGAATTTCCAATGAACTTCAATCCAAAGACCTGTATCTAGCTACAGACTGAATAGCTATTTTGTTTTTTATAATGACTTTTGGAAAAAAAATTTACACCTTCAACTTTTATAAAAATGGAACTAGAAGAAGATTTGATATCTCACTTAACTTAGAACATAAGCATTTTCTAGTGGAGATATCTTCCATATAGTGCAATGTTAGTCACAAAAATAGCTTCTTAATGAGCAGGTATGTTTCAGTTGTATATTAAACTTTATAATTTTTCACTCTGCCTGTGAATCATCTAATACATATTTTAACAATTTGATTTTTCTGAGGCTTGGGTAGCAAACTTTGAAAGACCACGAATGAATGCAAATTCTCTTCTTGCAAGTCCCACCGGGCTTAGTCCCTACCTACGATTTGGCTGTCTGTCATGTCGCCTTTTTTATTTCAAGTTAACAGACCTATACAAAAAGGTATGAACTCCACTTTGTAAGCTACTCATCTATATATTTATTTTAGAAAGTTTGTGTGTTCATGTGTCGGTCTATCCGTGAGTCTGTTTGTTCAAGAACTCCTCCTAAACAGTAAGAGTTAGGACCACCAAATTTGATATGCAGCTTCCTTTATCCTAACTTAAAGCAAGGTCAGGGTTTGGTTGTACCAGGAAAACAGGATGTGCCTGGAATTCTGTTTTCCATAACATTGAAAGGGAGGGGGCTGGTAGGAGGGATAGTTATACTGCAGAGTGACCACAAGGGAGGTGGCTGCACCAGACAGAGTGGCTAGCTGGGGCTAGGGATCTCCATATTGGTAGCCAATGGCCTACTTGTGATTGGCCCCCTGTTCCCATATGCTTTCCGCCCTCTCCCTTTTCCCCCAAGCCTTTGGCCACAGTGCATACCACTGAGGAGCCCTGCCAATTAACAGACCTGGGACCCCTTGTGCCCCCCCAGGAGCCACTGGCCAGCAGCCTCTTCACCCCTACCTCCCGTGAGGAGCCCCTTTCTGTCCCCCACAAGGACCCAGTGCTGGCTGGGGCCCCCATGAGGAACTGCCATCAGAGCAGTGCCACCCTTGTCATCACGGGTGGCCCTGGCAAGACTACATCCATCCACCCTCCTAGCCCCTTTGCACTGAATCCTGTGTCCCACCACCTCCCCGGAGCCCCTACCCTGACTCCTGCAGCCCCACCACCTCTCCTGAGCTCTCTACATCCCAACGCCCCTGCCTTGACTCCTGGAATCACCCCCACCCACAGCCTCCTATCCTAAGACACAAGCAATGCTGGGTAAATCTTCTAGTGTTTATGTATAATAAAAAATTGAGAGTTTTTTTTCGTGATGCCTTTCAGGTAAAGAAGAACAGTTCCCCTCCCCTCTCCCTTTATGGCCAGCTCTTGTGGCGTGAGTTTTTCTACACAGCAGCTACTAATAATCCACGCTTTGATAAAATGGAGGGAAATCCCATCTGTGTTCAGATTCCATGGGATAGGAATCCTGAGGCTTTGGCCAAGTGGGCAGAAGGCAGGACAGGATTTCCTTGGATTGATGCAATTATGACACAGCTCCGTCAGGAAGGTTGGATTCATCATTTAGCCAGACATGCTGTGGCATGCTTCTTGACTCGAGGTGACCTGTGGATTAGTTGGGAAGAAGGAATGAAGGTACAGTTTTTCATTAATGAATAAACTATGGTCAGAACATTTAAATTGTCGTTCTTGTAGGAGTGATGGCGTCTAAGTTTCAGGTGCAGAACATGCTTTTCTTAAATAGATGTCTAGTAATGGCCATTGGTGCTTAATTTTAGATAACCCAGTTTGAAAATTAGGACCAGCAATTATTAAATCCATGAGTTCTTTTAAAATCAAAATAGAATATGAAGGAATAGAGCAGCTAATTTCTTGAGGGCCTTTTCAGCCCCATATATCTATGGTAAGAATAAATAACATTCATCATTCAGCTGATAGAAATTCTTTCCCATTCATACCGTCCATCCCGCTGCCATAAAAGAAACCACCAACCTTTTCTTTTCAAGTTAGTGAAAGCAAAGTGGGAATGAAAGGGTGGGACGGGGGGTGGGAGGAGACTCAACACCTTGCTGTATCAGACCCATACATGTTGGACAACATGATTCATTAGTGATCTCAGCCCAACTAACTTGTACCAAATTATCCTAAAACTGGAGCCATGGATATTCAGAGTATAAAGATGTGTTAGTCTCATTGCTATTATTTACAGCATTCTTCAGTCTTTGATTTTGATTGTTTCAGAAAATAAAAAACAAATCTCTAAATACAGTCACAGGTTTTTTTAACTTACTACATTATAAACAGTTCCTCCTGTTCGAACTTGAAGATTAATACATTTGCTGTCTGAGTTATGTTCACTTCCTTCCTGTTTCACATGTAAACAGCACTTTTGGTTATGCAAGTAATTGCATGAAAAATCTAAAGACAGGTTGCCTTATGTGATTTATACATGTGTAAATTTGAATGTCTGTATTCCTATAATGTACAACTTCATGCATTTGATTGTTCACATTACAAATATTACTTGGCCTACCCTTGGAGTTAAGCGAAGATAACAGAGGAACATATTTGTATAGTACAAGGATCTATAAATTGTACTTCCATTTGCTAGAGAGAGAGTCTCCCACTAATTCTAGTAGGATGTTATACAATCTTAGCAAGTGTGCTTGAAGGGGAGCATCTAGTGGGGCAATTGTGTACTGACATTTTATCTCTCACCAGCACAAGTTAGTGCATTAAAGGATACTACCTCATCCACCTTGTATTTTAACTAAATATTTTTCAGAAAATAGATAAGTGAACTATTTTAATAAAAAGGCATAGTTGCAGGTATTCACAATGATTTTTATAGGGTTTTTTTTTAGTAACTTGTTTAAGTAGCTCTTTTGTTAACTGATGCTGATTACAGAAGTCTAACAAGTAGAATTTAATGTTCTAATAGTAGATTTGGAATGATAGGAGAAAAAAACTTTTATTTTCTACTGCTGTAATAATCCCTCCCCTCCCATGCAGATTTTGCTGTGTATTAACATGTTCTGCTAGACATCAATAAAATTGTAAAGTTTAATGTGACCCAGAATTAGAATTAATATTTGTGGTTTTGTATTGTCCTGGAAAGGAAATGAGATCGTTATAGAACATCTTGATTAGGTAAACTTTTAAAGAAAAACTTGCTGAATATTTTTAATATGTGTGTTAAATAAGAATATATATATTGAATAAGACCTTTTAAAGCAGTTTCAGAAAACTTACACTATTTAATATTTTTCTTCAGGGAACAAGATTCTCTTTCTTGTTTGTTGGTTGGTTTGTTCCCCTTCAGGGAACAATTTTCACGATGTTTCTAAGCAGAAAGAACTTGTTTTATGCAAGTTAGGGCTGATCCAGGGAAAGCACTGCAAACTTAATATTCTTCAAATGTCCCAGTCTCTTGGGACTAGCGCTACAGGACAGTGCCCAGACTCCCCCTGCACACCGCTTCTTTGTACCCAACTGTGTTTTGAGGGTGAGAGTTTAAAGAGGTTGTGACACTGTTACCACCTCTGTTCCCTCCAGCTGCAGCAGTAAAAGAAAATGAATAATTAGTAGTCTATAGGTTAGACTCATTTTAGATTGGAGGATTTAAGGAAAAGCTTTTTTTCTGTACCGATGATCCCAGTAAGAAGAAATGCAGGTACAAGGGGTGGGTGGAGTGGGTGGCATTGCTCAGAGGTCTTCCCAGCATCTGACATGCAGGTTCCATATTTTAAAATGTTTTGGGGGGAGCCATTACCCATTTATAGCACAGTCACATCTTAAGATGGCAAAGAAAGACCAAACAGATTTCAGATGCTTTTGTTCTTGGTGGTGTGGTTAATGGAACTTCTAGTATACAAGAACTCTAAAGGATCAGAAAATAAGAATGGGGGGAAGGGCTGAATCAGCTCTGAGTAGGGATATCAGCATGTAGACAACTACCATGGTTAACCAAAACCTGGGCTTATCGGTTAATCCTGTCAACTACATGCACTTCCCCCCTAGGGAGGCAGGAGCTGGTTTGTCTCTCTTTTCCCCCCCTCCCCCCACCCCTCCCATGCTGCTTCCTCTGATTGATAGGCAGCAGCATGGAGCGTTTAGAAAACGAAGTCTTGTTTAAAATAAAGTATTCTCACACCATAACATTGATGTAATTTCCCTGCTCCATACAAAAAGGATTATTTCATCTGTCAGAGAAGATGGTTTTTTTTTAAATTCTGTTGGGTCTGATGGCATCCGCAACATAATGACTCTGTGTGCCGGGCTTAGAATGAGACCTCTTCAGCACTGGTTACTAAAGAATTTCAGACCAATTACAGACAGCATGCAAATATTACTCGCTGTTCCAAAGAATATTTCTCTCTTGCTAAAGTTGGTGGTTGGAACAGCAGAATGCCCTTAAAGGATTTTTGGTTCAGCCTTCCTCTCTTAGTAACAACCATAGATGAGCCAAAGACAGGGTGGAAGTGCATCTTTGCTGTCTGTTTTTGAGATCTTATGAATGACAGAGAAATCCCTGTTACACATAAATGTATTGGAACTGAGGGCAATTCAGTTAGATGCCAGGGCATCTCTCTTGCAAGTGCCAAAAGGCACTATTCAAGTGGCTGTGGACAACGTGTCAGCAGTGTATTATGCAACTAGACAAGGAGGAACTTGAACATCTTAAATTTACAAAAGCAATAAAATGTTGGCATTAATGTATCCAGCATAACATATACTCAGTTTTCTGGCAAGAAGCGAGTGAATGCAGTATGATTGCAGATCGACTGAGCAGAGATTCTCTGCAGACAGATGAATGGTCTCTCAAATATGACAATTTAGGATATTTTCAGTCTTTGTGGGTTTCTGAACAGAAATCTGTTTGGAATCGGATTCAGTATGAAATGTCCTTAGTTCTTCTCAGAAGTGGGCTCAGACAGCATACCATTGACCTGTGTATTCCTTCTAAATTGGAAAAAAGGGTTTAATACAGTGGTCAGAAACCCCTGGCACGTAAGCCACAAGGGCCAAGTGAGCTGACTTTTTTTTTTTTTTTTTTTTTTTTTCCCCCCCCCCACTGGCATGTGGGGCAGGAGCTCAGCCCTGCCTCTCCCCTCCACGGAGCAGGGAGCTCATGCTATGGCTCCAGCCTCAGCCGCGCAGCTGCATGCTGGGCGGGAGAGGCGCGCGTCCCTGGGGCTGCCCCTGCTCAGCCGTGCGTGCAGCTCCCAGGAGCTAAGGGCTTAACTCCTTCCCCTCCCTCCCGACTACAGGCTCTGCTTCCTACTTCAGGAGGGAGTGGGGGGAGGAGTGGGGGAAGGAGTATGGCTGGTCTGCAGAGCTGGGGCTGGTTGGCCGATCACTGGGCTGCACCGCACTGCTCTGCACGGGCGGGGAAGCCCTTCCCCAGTGCCTCACTGTACCTGGTCAGACTGGAGCCAGCCCTGGGCTCTGCCAGCCCCAGAGCTTCAGGCAAATGGCTGGGCCGGGCAGGAGGGAGACTATTACCTCTGTCCCAGTGAGCTACCAGGGGGCTGAGAGTCCCAGCACTGCTGGCCTACTGGTGAGTGTGCTGGAGGCATAAGGATGTGTGGAGGTGGGGGTTGGAGAAGGATGTGGGAGCAGGATGGGAGGGGCAGGGGTTGCCCTGGGCGACATGGAGCAATGCAGGGGATCGGGCGGAGGGGGGGGGGAGGAGATCATAGGGCTGAGGAAAGATGTGGGGTGGGTACAGTTTTACTTTGTAGAAGCTGTACTTTCCTTTACTCCCCACTCCTTTGGCTCCCTTCCCAACTATCTATTTGGCTGCATTCTCACCCTCTCACCTTTTCTGCGTTACTCCCCCAACTCCTTCCTGGCCCCCCTGCTGCCAAACTCCCTTCCAGATCCTGCATCCCTATCCCATTCACTGACAGCCCTGCACATTGAACCCCTCATTTTTGTTCCCACACCAGAGCCTATGGGGGGTCCACAAAATCCTCTAACTCTAGAACCCCAGAAAAATAAATTTGGTCTATGAGAAGCTCTGAACTTCAGTCCTACCAGTCCCTTCCCCTCATCCCATGGGGGCTGGAGCTCCACAGGAGTGAGGTGTTTCAGTTGGGGGCCATGTCAGTGAGGGTTGGGGATTTTTGGAGGGTTTTTTTTCTCTCACTTGTGTGGTCCCCGACTAATTTTTTTTTTCTGTGGGTCAGTGATCCAAAAAAGGTTCCCACCCCTCCCATAAATAAAGAAAAAATTACATGTTTTACTTCATTTTCAATAAAGTTTGATAAACTAACATGGGAAAGTTAAAATACTTAGGCTACATCTACGCTGCAGGCTTTTTGCGCAAGAACAGCTGTTCTTGCGCAAAAACTTGCCCGGTGTCTATACTGCATGCACGTTCTTGGGCAAGTAAATTTACAGTAAAGCGTCAGAAAACAGGGCTTCTTGCGGAAGAGTTATTCCTCTCCCCACGAGGAATAAGCCCTCTTGTGCAAGAAGTCTTCCACAAGAAGCCAGTGTAGACAGGCAACATGATTTTCTTGCGCAAGAAACCCCTATGGCTAAAATGGCCATCAGAGCTTTCTTGCGCAAGAGAGCATCCATACTGCCATGGTCGCTCTTGAGCCAAAGCACAGCTCTTGCGCAAAAACACATGGCAGCGTGGACGTGCCCTTGTGGAACGTGCCTTTTGTGCAAAACAGTTCTGGCGCAAAAAGCCTACAGTGTAGACATAGCCCCTATCTGTTTAATAATTTAAATTAAATCATTCTCCCCAGTTGCAAAATGGCTGGGCTGTAATTGTGTAATTAACGGTGAGTTTCCATTATCAACTTAGTCTGCTGAAATGTTTGCATTGACCCAGGTGGTCTAGGGGGCACGCGGCAGAAAGAGAGCCCTTTCTCCCCTCCCAGGAAAGCAGCACAGCCCTGGGCAAGAGAATTAAATCTTGGCACACCATTTCAGAAATGTTGCTGACCCTTGGTTTAATATATACATTTTTCCCCATTTCTCCTCATTCCCATAGTAATAAAAAAGGTAAGGCAAGCCAGCCTGATTCTTATTGCTGCAGAGTAGACAAGATCATAATGGTACACTGAGGGCATGTCTAGACTACATCCCTCTTTCGAAAGAGGGATATAAATTAGATCAAAATTGCAAATGAAGCCAGGATTTGAATTTCCCATGCTTCATTTGCATAATGGTGTCTGTGTGTTCTTTCGAAAAAGTGAAACCACTGTCTAGACACGATTCTTTTGAAAAAAGGGAAAAAAACCTTTTCAACAGATCCTGTACTCCTCAAAAAATGAGGATCTTTCGAAAAAGGGTTTTGGCTTTTTTTTAAAGAACCACATCTAGATGGCGGTTTCACTTCTGTAAGCCCTTTTTCAAAAGAACGCATGGCTGCCATTATGCAAAGGAAGTGTGGGAAATTCAAATCTCAGCTTCATTTGCAATTTCAATCTGTGTAATTTATATCCCTCTTTCGAAAGAGGGATGTAGTCTAGACATAGCCAGAGAATTTGGTGGAAGGAACTGAAGGAGCAGTCCGTCTTTAACCTCTCACCCTCAGAAGGGACTCAAGTGTTAGACAGGAAAGGCCAGGGCTCTAAAAAGGGGTGCCTATTAAGTTCTGCCATACCTGATCAGCATGAGTCCAAAATGTAACTATACAGCATCCATCTTGATGCGTTTCAGTGATAAGGAATTAATTTTCTTAGATCAAAGTTGTTAAATTTTAGAAATTTTTTTAGACCAATTAATTATTAAATGTTAACTGCCCACTTTACATTGAATGATCCCTTACAAGATTTGTTACCTCATGTATAACAATCTGTTTACCTTGTATTTAGCTGTGATGCTGACTATCTTTCCCAGACCTGAAGAAGAGCTCTGTATAAACTCAAAAGCTTCTTTCACTAAGGCGTGATCAAATAAACAGTGTTACCTCATCTGCTTTTTCTCTAATTATTAAATTAACTGTTAATTGAAACATCTACCAAAAAGCTATAAAAGCATTAGTAAGTTAATGTAGCTTTTTAGTACAGTCCATATGGAGCAAATTGGGAAAGAAAATTCCACCCCGGGGAAGATAATGTGAGGCCTAGTGGATAGAGCACAGTGCAGGAATTTAGGAAACCTAGGTTCTATTCTTAGCTTTGCTACTGGCTTACCTAAGTGACTTCGAGCAAATTATTTCACCACTCTGTCTGTTTCCCATCTGTAAAATGCATTTTTGCAAAAGTATGTCCAACTTCTGTGCTGCAGAATCCACTGAAAGCCCAGAAGACTGGTATCTGCAGTGCAGAAGCCAGACATACCTCTTTTCCACCATCATACATGAATGGACTTTAAAGAAGAACTTTAAGTATTTATTGAGCATTCTTTAGATGTTACCAAGTCTGGGCAAGTATCAGAAAAGATAGGATTTCAGCATTTAAGAACACAGTTTTCTGTACTGACATTTTGATAGCTGAGCAATGCTTAGGAATGTTTGTGGAAATTTTTAACTCATTTAGAATAACTTGCCACTGTTATTTCTCAAGGTATTTGAAGAATTGCTGCTTGATGCGGATTGGAGTGTTAATGCTGGAAGCTGGATGTGGCTCTCCTGTAGTTCGTTTTTTCAGCAGTTTTTTCATTGCTACTGTCCTGTGGGTTTTGGTAGAAGAACGGATCCTAATGGGGACTACATCAGGTAATCTGACATAAATATTGTAAAGCCATCATTGAAGTTGCCTTGAGCTTTAAACAGCTGTTTAAAACTATACCTTTTGTCTTTAAAGGCGTTATTTGCCTATACTGAGAGGTTTCCCTGCAAAATACATATACGACCCTTGGAATGCCCCAGAGAGCATCCAGAAGGTTGCAAAATGTGTAATAGGAGTTAATTATCCTAAACCAATGGTAAATCATGCAGAGGCAAGCCGCCTGAATATTGAGAGGATGAAACAGATCTACCAGCAACTTTCACGGTACAGAGGATTAGGTATGACTGTAATCTACTTCATGTATTTATTTGGAAGTTTTTCTTCCCTTTGAGCTGTGATAATCCATTCTTCAGCCATGAGGCCTAGTTACCAAGTAAAGATAAGAGCAGTGTACCCCACGGTAACACTTGTATTTTCCCTCTCACCTTTTCAGCACTTTACAATGCTTCTAGTCTCCACCTGCCTAGGGAGTTAGTCCTGCAGTTTGTTTTAAATTCTTGTAATTTCTAGTGCATCAGATAAGTTTTGTATAGGTTAATTTTACTATTAGATATAACTTCTGCATGGAAAAAGTTAGTGGAAAAAGTCTTGCAACCTTAACTGTACAATCCACTGTTTACAAACACCGTGGTTTATCGTGCAAAATTAATTTTAATCCTTGGTTTACATTCTTCCATGTGCATTTGTTGACTTTTGCCTGTTTAAATAATGGCTATATTCCATTAGGTATGAAGTAACTTCTGATGTGTTTTGCACTAAAATGTACCATATATAATCTATGCATTTAAAGTTTCTTGCAAAAATAATACTGATTTTTTTTATAGTAATGTAATTATAATATAAAATTATTTGGGCAGATATTCCAATTTACAGTAGAGGCTAAAAATTCATTCTTCACACTGGTAAACTACCGAGAAAATACAATTTCAAGCCAACAGAAAGTGTATAGAAAACAAAAATATATTTGCTTGCCTCAATTATGTTGACACTGATTTTTTTTCTTTTTCTTTGATTAGGTCTTCTTGCAACAGTGCCTTCTAACACAAATGGAAATGGAAATGGTGGCCTAATGGGATATTCACCAGGAGAAAACATCTCTGGTTGTAGTACCACAGGTGGTAAGTAAAATCTCCTGTTCTGACAAATATTGGAACTGGGAAGTAGGGATGTTAAAATGCATTTATTCAGGTAAATGTGTAACTCCTGAAACTCATTTACACGCAGTGGTGAGAGGACGGCTCCCTGGGAGCTGGAGAGCACAGGGAGCCAGCTTTTAAGCCGGTTCCCCATGCACAGCAGTTCCAGTTAAGCTGCTTGGTGTGTGTCATTTTCTCCCCCTCCCCCCTGGCGGGATCACAGGTCCCCATATTCTCCTAGTAGCTATGCAGGAGTCAGCTTCCCACATGTACCCACCCCCTCTGTGATTGCCATGGGGCAAGAGGCTCCTCGTGAGCTAGTGCTCCCAGGGAACCAGCTTTTAAACCTGCTCCCCGTGCATACCAGCTCCCACGGGGCTGCCTGCCTTTACCACTCCCCACGTTACTGCCTCGGTCTCAGAAGAAACAACGCGGGGGGAAGGGGGGAAACCAGGATCATGTTAGGGGGGCAAGCAGTTTCACGGGAGCTGCTACATGTGAGGAACCAGCTTTAAAAGCTGGTGCAGAGGCAGTAGCCCGGGGAGTGTCAGGGTGGGCTACCTCTGATACAGAAGCAGCAGTGGACAGGAGGGGGAGAGAAGCATGTGACTTTGCATTCTAACCCAGGAGCCTAGGTTTATTGGTTAACTGTTACACATTTACACTTTCACATTCCTACTGAGAAGTTGCACAAATTCCTTAAGTTAACTCCCTAGCTATCTTCACAAAACCAGTTTTGTGAAAACTGCTCTTAAGAATATTTTCACATCCTCTCTTCTACCATTACTCATTTTTGCATGGTTATATAACACTGATAGCTGCTCATCTGAAGAATAGATATATTCAGCATAAATAAGTAAAACTTTTCAGGACTGTTTTAACCCTTGTAAAAGTATTAATGCATGTTGAGCAATTTTCAAACATGTTTGTGCATCTGTTCACCTCCTTTATGTCATTTGATGGTAGTGACGTAATAGATTGTAGTCTGATTTAATCTATTTGAGGCAAGGCACATTTTTGCCATATTTGTATTGTGCCTAGTACTTTGGAACTGAATAGTCTAAGCACCACCAGAGTACACATAATGATGGTAAAATACCCCAAATATGTCTACGATACCTATTGTAGAATTTTTCCATTAGGTTTTAATGAAAAATATTTTAGCCTACAAACATTCTTTAGATTATGTACAGATGTTAGTGTTTTATATACATAATATAGGGAGTATAAGATGTTTTTAAACATGCTCTGAAACTTAAACATCAAAAGCAAAACTTTAAAAGGGGCTTCAATCCAGCATACAAAATTGATGGGTACAATTTTCAGTTACCAATTTTTTGTGTACGTAAACTGCATTTGTAATTTTCATATTAGGAATTTAAGTCTTAGTTCCCTGGTTTATGAATAAAGATCTGAATTTGAGCAAAACCTTGGACATATAAACATTTTCCCATAACTTTACAGGCTATGGTGGGGGGGAAATAAAAAAAAATTGACCTCGCTTTATAGTTTTAGGGTGCAGTATTCAGTAATTCCCATTGTAAGTATGTATTTAGCAATTATAGACTTTCAGACATTATAGTTATTTATTAAATGTCCAATCTGGGCTGTATTCTATGCTAAATTTTAAAAAATGTCCTTTTTTTCAGGAGCTCAAATGGGAAGCAATGATGGTCATACAGGGGGCATTCAAACATGTGCCCTCGGAGACTCACATGCAGGATCAAGTGGAATTCAGCAGCACGGTATTATTCAGCAAATAAAAAATGTGTTCAAAGAGGTTCTCGCTATTCTTGAAATTGTTAAAATCCCTAAAAACATCTCCCCCTCTGGGTGACAGCAGAATTCTAAATTTGAGCTTGGCTCATTTTTCTTTGTTGAAACGTAAACATGTAATGATCATTATTTAACAGGATCTTAACTTGTGCTTCAAATAAGTCATGGACAATAGTGTAGCTTTGTTTATTTAGGGGTTTGACAAAAGGGTATTTTACAATAGCTTTTGGAAGGACACCCACATAGAAATCAGAGATCTGTTCTTGTCTTCTGTTACAATTGACACCTAAGATAATTATAACTGAAAGAGCTTGCAGGAAGTAAAATTTCCATTTGTTTACTTTGTGCATTTGATAGCAGTTTGTGTAGAGTCATTTTTCTTTCCAATATAGACAGTCAATTTCTACAGTTTGTATGCGAAAATAGGAGAAATATATTTATTTTCTTCGAGTGCTTGCTCATGTCCATTCTGATTAGGTGTACGCGCGCCACGTGCACGGATTCCGGAGCTTTTTTTCCTTAGCAGTATCCATAGGGCCAGCAGGGAGCCCCCTGGAGTGGCGCCGGTATACCGGTGCATATATACCCCTGCTGGCCCTCCCACCCCTCAGTTCCTTCTTACCGCCCATGATGGTAGCTGGAGCATGCCTCAGGCTGATAGCCTATCTCTTAGCAGCTTATTTCTTATCTGTTGTATTATAGTTCTGGTTGAAGTTTTTATCTAGTTAAGTAGTTGTTAAGTGCTCTAAATATTTAGTTAGTTAAGGGAGCAGTGGAACCCTTCAGTGAGGGGAGGGCATGCCAGGGCCCCAGGGCTTTAAACCCTGTGCTTCCTGCTCCAAACCTATGCTCTGCGGAGATCCCCACTCCGACTGCTTAAAGTGTCTGGGTGAGGCCCATCAAGCTGAAAGCTGCTCTATCTGTAAGAGCTTTAAGCCCCGGACCAAGAAGGAGAGGGACTCCTGGCTGAAACTCCTGCTAATGGAGTTGGCACTGCAGCCTCAGAGCGAGGAGCGGCCTCACTCTGCCCGCAGCGCACCGTCGGCAGCCCCCCCATTGGACAACAAGGCACCGAGGCACAGATCGCCTCCAAAAAGAGGCGCAGCCCGGACAAGGGCAAGAGCCCGGGGCAGCCCGTGGGGCTAGGAGAGGTCCGTCGGCCCTCCACCCCAGAAACCTTTGAGGCGGCCCGGGACCTCATTCACATGGCTGTGGATGAAGGAGAGGGCCCGGTGCCGCAGGAGCAGACCGCGCTGGCACCGGCCTTAAGTGCCCCCCAGCAGGCTATGGCCGGGTCGTGGGACCCTGTGGGCGAAGGGCAGGCCTCGGCCCAGCAGCAGTTTTTCCCAGTGCCAGGAAGAACACTGGCACCGGAGCCAGGACGAACGCCGGCACCGACCCCGGGCCCCTTCCCGACGGCACCGGGAGCGAGTGTGCTTGCGGTGCCGACGGTACCGGTGCAGGGATCGGTGCCGCAGACAGCCCCCTGGGCGGTGCAGGGCCGCGCACCGTACTATGCGCCACCTGCGGTGCCACAGCAGGCGCCCCGCATGGCACCGACGCTGATGCCTGTCCCGGCACCGATCCCTGCTTACTCCTTGGGAGCGCAGCAGCAGGGCGCAGCGCCGCTGCACATGACGGCACCGGAGGGTTATGTACCGGCCTATCAGATGCAGCAAAGGCCTCCACCCATGCCCCCACCGGCACCGCGTGCGGTGCACAGGGGCAAGCCATCAGCCATGGCAGCCCAGTGAAGGGTGCAGGCTTCATCGGCCCCTCCCTGGTCAGCATCAGAGTACTCTTCGGAGGCCGAGTCAGTGGCTTCGTCCAGGTCTTCATATAGGTCACGGCCCCATGATAGGTCCCGCTCATCGGTCAGATCATCTCACTGGGAGCCGGTGGACCAGCAGCAGTGGCAGGGGCAACCCCAGTGGGCTTTCTGGACGCCCTGGGCATACCACCAGGCCCAGAGCCTCCCCCTACGGGGCTCGGCAGCGGGGTCGTCCCGAAGGAGTAGCACCCCGTCTGCCACCCCCTTGACAGCTCCCCCGCCTGGAGACAGCTCGTCTATGGTGGCGATGCCAAGACCCCCGGTTATTGGTCAGGGGCAGGGGGCTATGTCCCAGCCGGGCGCAACCTATGTGGACATCTCTGCCTGGGGGGCAGCCAGGGCACCGGGAGCCGGGG